CTTTGATATTATATATATAGGTACTACATGTGGACCTCTCTCAGATTTGTTCATTTTGTGATGATATCTTCAATTCTCTAATTTTGGTGAATATTTTTGTAATTTTTGGTAAAAAGTGATATTTTCGACTTCTTGTTAAAAACCAAAAGTTCATTTGCTTTGATATTACATATATAGATACTACATGTAGACCTTTCTCAGATTTGTTCATTTCGTGATGATATCTTCAATTCTCTAATTTTGGTGAATATTTTTGTCATTTTTGGTAGAAAGTGATATTTTCGACTTCTTGTTAAAAACTGCAAGTCCGATACTATACATATTGTTCATTTTCTAATGATGTCTTCTGTTCTTTAATTGAAATGTGCATTGCTAACAGCGGAGCTATCTCAGCCGACAGGCTGCTTGTTTTTAAAAGTATTGTCTGTTTTGACAAAGATATTACCTGGGAGTTTCAAAATAATTCTTGTTTTGAACTGATATTTGAAATTCAGGTAAATTTCCAACTAAGCTACATATTTTTTAAAGGTTCTATACGACTCCAATAGTGTTTGATTTATTCTGTTAACTCAATGGCACACAGTGGCAATCTCATACCAAATTAACATGGTAGCACTCAACAATGGCAACCATGTAACGAATAATAATAAGAGGCATTGTTAACTCAGTCACACTCAACAATGGCAATCACATACTGTAAACAGATTAATTATTCACTGGGTTTTAATTTCACTATTTTCATGACAAGTAAAATCTGCTAAATTAAATCTACATGAACTTGTAAAATAACGATAGATTGTTTTCCTGAAATCGCTCAAAGCATCAAAATAATGAAATTAAATGTTAGTGAAAATAAATGGTTTTACAGTATCAAATAAAAATGAGCCTAGTGTGTTTAGTTTCTTGCCAGAGTGCAGTCACAGAATGGTGTTTGTTCCATTTTTGAATCTGTCTAATATGTTGTAAATTACCTCCCTAAAATGTCTGAAAATTTTCACTGATTTATTAAAATAAAAAAACAGAAAATGTGATTAAAACTTGTGCATTTGGTGTTAACAATTACTGAATGCTACTCAGATTAATGAAATGATTTGTGATGGTTTATATTGACACTGGTTTCCCATGCTGTTCTGGATCTGTAAACATTTGTCTTGCGCATATTGCACAGACTACTTTCAGTTATGTTTTTGTCAACTTCGCCTTTGTATCATTCCGTTGAGAATTTTCGTACTACGTGCCAACAACCAAATCGACCTAATCTAGGTCACAGTTCAAATTGGGATTTAAGTGAAGTATTTCATAGTGTGGACTTACATTTTTAGTGAGATTTGCATACCAATGTTTTGTAATCAGGTGGTTAATAACAATGTGAAATATATATAAATTTTTTGTTGGGGGTTTTGGAGGTTGACTGAAGCCTCCTCACTTTGTGATATGCCCTCATTAGTATTTCTCCTGTGGTAATGTTACATGTATTTGTGACTATGCTGTTAACAAGATAGCATTCTTTATTTACGCCTAATATTGGCCTACCTCATTGTTTCCCCCCCCTCCCGGCATCTTTAATGCCCTTGTAAACAAAAGTATAGTTATCAGTTACCTATGGGGGCGCTTTATCCTATTACAAAATAGAAATTTTGATTTTTGATTTTGTCTATGAATGAGTGTAGTCTTGTCAATAGGAAAACTGTATTTAAATTAAGATTGACATGCTGTTGGGGGGGGGAGGGTTACACATCTCGAGAGTATTTGGTATGTACAAACTTTTGTCGTGTAATATAATGTTAGTCATGTTGCTTTTCAAGTTTTTGTTTGTTTTATCCTTTCTAAAGTTCTTATGTTGAGAGGGTTTTTTAAACTTAAGAGAACATTTCCATATAAAAAAAAAAATATTTTGAAACATAAGATAAAAAAACTCGCTAGAAATTTGTTAAAGTTTTAACAACATGGTTTCAGCATACTGCTGCATAGATTCAACATTGACTGTTGCCAACAATTCTCTCTCTCACTCTCTGGGATTTGCATTCAGTTATTTATTACTTTGAGGCAACACTTTAGTATTGTGCTACTGACAACGAATGGATTGGACAACTGCAATGCCCAACATATGGACAGGAAAATGTAATGCTACATTAATTGATACAATATTGCAATATACTAGTACATTGTTTCTTGTTCAGAGTGTGTTCTCCAAGACATCAATACAAGGCTAACATTATTCAATCGTGCAAATACATTTGCTTATGTCCCTGGTATGTGAAAGATTAACAATGTGTACTGTAAAATCTGTATTAGTGGCAGTGCCTTCTATTATGATAAAATACAACAGAGGGAATGCGGCCTCTATTTAGAGCATCTACATGAATGAAGAAATGGATTTTCCTTTCCTCAATTATTCAAAAAGCATGGATACAACATCTAATACAGATTTTAAGATATTTAGCAAAGCTACAACTTGAACACAAAATAGCATCTGTTTGGTCAATTTTGTTGTTGTACACTCAAAAACTGTGCCACCAGTAATGAGTTTGCTATATGGTCCTTGTAATCACAACCAGAGTTGGATACTACCTGTCTATGCCTTGTTGAATCCTCTGAATGAGATTTAGACTTTTGATACCTGGTAGAATTCAACTTGGGCAAAGTCTTATTGCTATTGCCCTGTACTAAACTCAAGGCTGCTAATGACATAGGCAATAACAAATATGGGATTCCCCCAGTTTACAGCACATTCTTAATAGAACTAATTGATGGCAGCTGTTTGTACATTGGGTTTATATGCAGTTGTGTGTTATTATTTGATCTATCCATGAAATGGAAATGTAGAAATAGTCTTCAGAAACCTTGGTTAAAATATTGTGGATTGATTGCATAAAATGCCAATCCAATGTGCCCTTTGACATTGCTCAAATCTTAAGTGTTGGACTGCTATAAACATGTATGGTAGTATAGTAACAGTATTTCAACCAAGTTTTCAGACTTAGTATTCTCCACTATTGGTTTTCTTTATAATCACTTGTTGCTTAATATATTTTTATGTGAGCAAGCCCTCTATTTTGTATCACAACAAACCTTGATTTGACCTTTACACCCCTCCCATCCCCTTGATTGTTTGTCATCTACTATGTAGTTGCCGTGACTCTTTCTCATGAAGTCGGAATAAAAATTGCTATATTTTCATATAGAGAATTCTGTGCGCTTTCCTTGCTTTATCATTACTTGACCTTTGACTTGGTTCAGAGTTTCAAATGTCATTCGTCAGTGAATTTGGGAATATTTTGTACAAACCGTTTCACAGATACTGTATGGCTGAAGTAAACAGTGGAATTACTTTCTCACTTCAAATAGTATTTGTATGCTCCATATGTACTCAAATCTATTTAAATACAGTAGAATACTTTTTAACAGAACCAATGATTCAGCGAATTGACCTTTTTCCTATATTTTGACATTCAACCATCAAAAATCATTGAAAATAAATTCCATACAAAATGCCCAAAAATTCTATTCAGGCATAAAAGTTATATATATATATTGTTTGCCCCAATTTACTGTACAGTTCACTGAGTGACCTACTGAAGACGATGGATATAATTTGCATAATGATTGAGGATGCATAACATAAATTAGTTGCTTGATGCACCTTGTTCAAAATTGACGAGTTTAGACATTCTCAGTCAACCAATTTTTTTACTGAATAAAAGTTCTATATTTGTATATATTTGATAATAAATTATGAAACTGGCTGAAAAATGTATCAGATATAATCTTATGATTTTGAGTTATGCCATGTGATCATGGACACATCCATGAAATGTAGTCTAAATAGTGGACCGACTTGCATCTCCATACCTAAGAGGCACAAAATGTTCAGATTCAGAAACTCAAAGATTTTTTGAGATGTAACTGAAATTATCCAATCCCATTTTTTTTAAGTGTTTCACAGGAGCTCCTGTAACGGGATCACATGCAATATCATGCAACCAGTGAGCTGCATGTATAACCATGCTGATCAATTTGGTAAAAGAATTGAAACAAAGATCTAGTCTTGTCAAAAAAAAAACACTTTCTTAATCTGTATAAGCACCAAGTAACTCTAAAGTAAAACAGAAATATGGCAAATAATGCACATAGTCATAACACTTGTATTTAAAGATTTTATTACAAAAAAAAGGTTTTATGCATATATACTTGCCAGTGTCTCACCACTTATTATTTATACCAGGACATATCCACATATAATATATATTTTCACATTTACAATTTATTATGTAATTATTAAAAAAAAAAATTATGAAAAGAATTTATGTAGTTTACAATGTGAGGCTATGACATTAAAGACATTATATTTTGAGTTGTGTGAATATTTGCATTCAGCGATGAAATTCTCCGCATCGGTAATGATATAAATCAAAGACATTGTCTGAATATCATGCTGGTGACATAATTTACCTCAAATGTAGGGAAAGTT